CTGGGAATATGCTGCTGTCTCCAGGCTTGCTCTCCTGAAGCTCCACTCCATCCCACCCCAGACCAAAACCCATGCTGTGGCTGCTGCTTCTCCAGCACCGAGGACGTGAGCCCAGCCTGAGCACCTCGGGTGTGCGCAGTGCGAGCTGGATGCTGCCTGCAAAAAACTGCCAAGATGTCACCTTTGAGGCAAGAGGAACCCAACAGACGTTTAACCGTTTTATTGCCATTAACCTCAAGAGCTGTGAATGTACATCTGTGTTAAGCTGTGCCACAGCTATCCAGCTCCAACCACAGTAAGTGCACTTCTTCATCCAAGAAGGCAGCCAGCGGAGCCCTTGGCACAGGCAGTGCAACCCTGAGAGAAGGTTCCTGTGGTGGCAGAGTGCCTGGGGAGAGGTCCCTGTCCACGCACCGCACGTAGGCTGCTGCCACTGGACCGTTCCCATGGGATAACTTGGACAACAGGCCTTTCTGCTTGCAGTGTCTCCAGCATCAACGGTGCTGCTACCACATGCTGTTGGAAACAGCAATTAAAGGCACAAGGAACTGTATTTACTCCCTGTTTTCGATATTACTGTGTGAAGATATTCAATATCAGCTGCTCCTTACAGAGCGTCTGCCTTTCATAGCTTCAGTTCGATGAGCTCCTCTCCCTGTATTTGGGAAATGCCATCTCTTGTGCGTTTTGCTTTTAGCAGTGTAATGCAGTTGGTCTTCACCTCCCTGAGCCTGATAAAACGAGTGACTTGGAAACTTGCAATCTGCTTCAAAACAAAGCATTTAAGATAAAAGATAGAAGCAGTAATGGAGCTGCTTGGCTCAGGAGTATAAATGCTGGAGGGTTATTCATGTACTCAAAAACCTTCTAACCTTTCTGCAGCTTTTGTTAACCCCTGCAAGCTCTGGGCAAGGCAGGCTCCAAATAAGAGCTGATGTGTCGGTTCAGATACGCTTCCACTCCAGCATGCAAACCCCTGGAGCTGGGAAGTGGAAGGAGCTCTGATGCCAGCACCATGAAATGAAGATGACACAGAAGGGGGAGAGTCGAGTCCTCACTCCATGGCCTCCAAAGTGCTCTTCTTTCTGCTGGTTAAACAGATGTCAGCTTCTGAGGGGATTATATGTCACCGAGCCTGTTGGCTGTAACAACTAATTATCACCAGCAACAGTTAGCCTTTAGATTTGAGGTTCAGAGGGCGTATCAGGGGTGCTGTCATCCAGCACCATGTGGAGCTTGTCCTCACTTGGGTTTCCCAAAGAGCTGGCACCCCCAGCACATCCCATCCTCCACCAGCTCAGGCTTGCACACAGCAGCTCAGCAGGTCCTTCCCAGCAGCATGGGCAGGGAGCACCAGCGCTCCAGGGAAGCCTCAGAGATGCCTCGAGCAGGAGCCAAGGGAAACAAGAAGCAGCTAAAATCAGCTCAGCATCCAAACAGCAGCCTGCCTGAGCTTCCCATTCCCACAGCTGGATGTTAGCATGGCAGCCGGGCTGCAGCAAACTCCTCTAGCTGAGCTTTATGGAGTGCAGCCTGCCGACGGGGCCCGGCTCAGCTGCCACCAATTCCAGGGGAAAAAGTCTTCTGCACCCCGAGACGGAAGAAATTCCAGAGGAGAGCAGCCAGAGGAGTAAACAGTTTTGGAATGCAGCCTCAAAACCAGCACTAAAAATGTTGTATACCTTTGGATAAATTGATGGCTACCTTCATCGAGACTACCAGGAACAGATGAAAAGCAGACCCAGGCAACTGAAATAATCTAGGGCATTGAGAAACACGGAGTATGATGGAAAATACTAGAAATGAGGAAAGAGGTGAAAAGGGGACTTAATATGGAAAAGGCTGTGTTGGCAGGCAGGTATCAGAGCTGGGATGCCCAGCAGCCAGGCTGGGTGCATTAGTTTGGGAGTGACCCTGGGGCACCAATCTCAATGGAGCTCAGCTTACCCAAAGTTGGGGCAGGCTGAGTATTGGGGATATTGAGTATTCCTTCATCACAGCACCAGTTAAGCACTGGGAAGCAGTGCCCTCATGCAGACAGATGCCAGAGACCTCCCAACCAAGGTTCCTGTGGAGATATCCCAAATGGGATTGGAAGCTGGATGTTGTCATGGAGGAGAGGGTGGTGGGTTGGATCCTGCTTGGCTCTCCTCCCTCTATTGCTATCATCCTATTCCCTCGAGAGGCTGGCAGGCTGCATCGGCTCCCTGAACCTCCTGTTCCCCAGAGTAATGCGAGTGGAGCCAGGCATATGGGGCTGCATCACCTCCATGGTCAAAGACGCGAAGGGAGGAGAAGCTTTCCAAGCCTCACAGCCAGCTGGTAGGCAGGACAAATCAAATCCACAGCTAGTTCGCTGTCAGGCAGCCTAGGAGAGTGCTGCGTGGAAGTGCCATAGGCTGTACACACCTGTAGCAAGAGCGAGGACCTCCTGAAGTCTCGGCACACGGCCTGGTGTTTAAAGGATGCTGCTGTTCACAAGCAAATCATGGCAGGTTGAAGGCAGTAACTACAGTAACGAGCTCCTCGGTCACTCTCCTGCTGCGAGGACGAGTCCTTTGGCCAGTTTGCAGTAGCTTTCTTCATTTGCTGCCCTCCTGGCATTAAAGGAGGGTCACAAAGGCAATAATAATTAATAGGGAACATTAAATTGAAGAGAGCTGAATCATAGGAAAATATGGAAAATGAAGATGGAAGAAGTGGTAAAGGTCTTCCAGGTACTGCCGAGAGCTGCAAGAGGAAAAGAAAAACTGTCCCTCTCTTACAGCTCCACTTTTTACCATCCCCTTGAGGTATTTTGTTCCTTATGACAGAGGGGAGCCTGGGTCTCTGACTAACGGCTCTGCAGAGCTGTCTCGGTCTGCGGGGACATGTGAAGAAATGCAGCTGTCTCTTAAATAACAGGAGTTGACACCAGTTGTGAATAGATGAGTGATCGCAGCTTCAGCCGTCACAGCGGAGGATCTGATTTCAAATGAAGCCCCATTCATCCATCCAGGGCCCATCATAAGGCTATTAAGGGAGCATCTGTCACAAAACCACAATGGCTTTAAATGCTTGAAAAAGGGCACAACAAAAATAAGCCTGCTTAGCTTATATACTTTTCTCTGTCTGACGTGATTCTTGCAATTCTTCAGCAAAACTGGATGATAAATAGGATGGGTAGCCGAAATACGTGATGTGAGCAGGGCGAGGAGGTTTGTTTTTCACCTTAGCGTGAGTTGGGTTGTCTGTCTTTCCAGGCTGGCCGGGAAGGCAAGGAAGCTGTTGGCAATGAGTTTTCCCAGGTGGTGGAGTGCATGGTCCCAGCACATCCTGCCCTGGAGCCCTGGCTCAGAGCACTGCTCCAGGACACGAATGGAAAGCCTTTCCCTGAACTCTGGGACAGCAGGGAAACATCTCCAGCAGCAGGACAGGGCATCGTGTTCAGGCCTTGCTTTGGCAAGGAAGCGTGCTCGCTAGCAAGGCAGTGTGATTGGGCTGCTCATCAGGGCTAAACCCACATGCTACGGTAAAGAAAATCACATTTGGCTGAACAGAAAGTCAGGCTTGGACATCATGACTCTCTTCCATGCGTGGTTCCAGCTCACACCTGCCTGCACGCACCAGCAAACTCAGAGACAACCATGTCTTCCTTCCCTACAACTGCACACCTCTCCCTACCCTTCATGCTCTGCGAGCTGCACTGGGCAAAGCTGCCCTCCCCTGGCTGACGCCTGAATGGGTGTCCCCCCCTCCTGTCCCCGCGGGTCACCTCCTGCCCCGGGCTGCCAGAAGCACCGAGACCGAAGCGCAAGGCCACTGCTCATGCACAGACCTGCTCTGCTATAGTCAGGGAGTATTGAAAGCACCTCGTGCACATTGGATTGGTGCTCCTGGGGCTCGAGGTGGGCATTTGTGCCCTATAATGCACGTCAGACCCTCCTTAAGTGGAACTGGAGTGTCTGCATGCGGCTCAGTGGGGGTGAGAAAGACTTTACTGGGTGATGCAGCTCTGTGTTTAGAATTCACATTACGTTGTAATCCAAATTCCTGCCTTCTTTAGAAATTATATTTCGTTGGGCTGAGGTGTTTTGAAAAATTGTCTTGAATGTGAATGAAAAAATGGACCGTGGTTTTACGTGGGCAGCTGTTGGGTTCCCCTGCAGAAACCTTTCACACCGGAACACTGGACTTCCTCCCCAAAGTGTCAGCCTAAGGAGGCATTGACTGTGTTCAGAGATTTTAAGCCTAGAGCAGAATAAGGGTAAATGTTTCAAAATTACCCATGTGTTTTAGGAAGCTAAATCTCCCCCCTACCCCCCAGAAAAACCCAATTTATATTCCCAGATTACCACCACCTAAGCGAGCCCCGGGGTTTTGTCCCAGCGCTGCTTCTCCCGCAGTCACAGCCCGGTGCTGGGTTTCAGACAGCAGCAGTGACTCGCTCGGGCAGATTCATCTCCCTTAATTCGAGCTGACCGAAGGCAAGGCATCTGGTCAGAGCAAGCTGCCCCCTCTCCCTCCCTTCCTAGCAGAGAGAGAGGCATCTCCCAAAGGTGACTCGACCTGCCTGTTCTGGGAGTGAGAAACTGTAGGCTCCAGCCTCTTATCTGAAGAGGCTGTGCCGTTTTGAATAAACCCTTGCAGAAAAGCGTGTGTGTGTACAGCATCCAGCACAATGGACCGATTGGGACCTTCATCCCTCAGGGAATAAAAATAGCAAGTAATATTAAAACTGTGTGTTTTCACAGATTGCAATCAGGGCTCACAACACATGCACACTTAATTTCCTGCTTTCAGTTCACTATCAGATGTTACGCTTAGGTTAGGGAGGTTTGTTAACATTTCTTTTTCCCCAGAATAGGATTTTTTTTTCCCTTCAACTACAGTACATTCAGCCACAAAAAATGAGATTGAAAAAGATTAATAGGAAGCTGAAGGATTCATCTGAGATTGACAAAGATTAATGTGTGTCTTATTCTTATCTGTTTGCTTTTTCTTTTCCCTTCTTCTCTTAGCTACCTAGACAGCTTAGATCGGATCGGAGCTGCAGACTACCAGCCCACGGAGCAGGATATCCTCCGAACCAGGGTCAAAACAACTGGCATCGTAGAAACCCACTTCACATTCAAAAACCTTCACTTCAGGTTAGTCAAAATCAGCATGTACCGGTAAATTTTCAGGGCACCTATTTGTCACAGGTGTTCCCCATAGCTCCCAAAGGAGAAATTGTTAAATCGCTGGGTGATACACAGGTGGCTCCCACTACTGAGGACACGGTGTTCCTGGGGGTCAATAATATGCAGTGCTTGGCAATCTCGTCTTGAAAATCACTGCCTTTGAGAAACATAGTACCTTCTTCTAACCCAAATGAACCCTCTTTGTTGGGAGAGTTGGCCCCAGGTCTGGTTGGCCCCAGGTCTGATCAAGCCTCACCAATGTAAAAAATATTTTGCCAAATCTTTTCTCTAAAATGGGTCTATCACATGTGGGTAATGCTGCATATTGACCCTCATGGTGCCAGCCATTCGAGAGAAGAGGGCATGAAGACAGAAAGCTGCACACAGTCTCATTAGAGCATATAAAATTCAAGAGCGCGTGGTCTCTACCTCCGCAGACCCTTTGGGACCTGAGGTTCTTCCACAATTCCCCACATCCCTAGCTGTAACTGCTCCTCCTCAGCTCCAGGCTCTGGAGAAGACCCAGCCAGCAGGTAAAGACCTGTTGCTTTGTGTTTGGAGCCTTGCAGGGACCATATGGTCAGAAAATGCCAGGACAGCTAAAGTTTCCTCATATCAAAGAACGAGTGCTGATGGTCTCCTGTCCGTAGGCTCTTTGATGTCGGGGGCCAGCGGTCAGAACGCAAGAAGTGGATTCACTGCTTTGAGGATGTCACAGCAATCATTTTCTGCGTCGCGCTGAGTGGCTACGACCAGGTGCTCCATGAAGACGAAACCACGGTGAGTCTAATCGGGTCTTGGAGGCCCCAACACTTCTTTATGGGATACTGCGTAGCCAGGAACTGCTTGGAGATCATGGAATGCTCCCTGGGGTGCTACAATAATGTGCTTTTGTCAGTCACTCCTCCTTGACTCTGAAATCCTGGGGAGATTTGTCCTTCTCCACACTCTTCAAAACCAAGTCCTGCATGCCCAGGTAACGCTGCTTTGCGCCGGTAAAGTTGCAGTGTTTTATTTCTAGATAATCTGTGTGTTTTCAGAATGTGTTATCGGGACCCTATATCCAGAAAGAGGAGACATAGCTAGGTGGGCTTTTGAAACAAGTGCAAGGAAGCAGTCCTGCTGTGGGGCCGAGATGTGGGAGGGCCGTGCGTGCCCGAGGCAGGCTTGGGCCAGAAGTATAACCTATTTTTTCAGGCTACAGAAATTCATTTTCCTGAGTGAGACTGGAACTGTTTGATTCCTCAGGTAATTTGCTCTAGGAGAGCTTTTATGACTTCCCACTGTGACATTAGGCTCAAAATACCATCTGGAAATAAAGCTAGCGAAGAGCTGTGTGCTCCCTGGTATTAGAGTGCAATTAATACAAGTGAATTAAATACACAGAAAGGGTGCCAGAAGAGTCATTACTGTATTCTGGGCTTTCATTCGGTGTGATGGGGATGCATGCTTTGGGGACTAACGGTGACTGCGGTGGGTACCCAGTTGCATTTGTCTAACGAAAATGAATCAGAGGCCGTACTCAAACTTTGGTAATGATTTAATCTGTGCCTAGCCTGCGGCAGCATGGGGGACTCGCTCCTGCCAGCTCTGTCTCTGAGGGTCTTTATTCTCCTGCTGGTAAAGATGTCTGGCTTGCAGAAAGCTGTTGATGAAGAATGAATTGAAGGAATAGTTGCTATTAGTTATCAATTGTCTCTTCCCAAAAATACTTGGGGGGTTGGCTGTGGTTTCTAGTCTCTTTGAGCCAGGTTTATGAGCTGGAGCAAAGTGATGAAGTCGCTCGGATGGTTGGGTCACATTGATGCCAGAATTCAGGGTGGTATTAACATCACAACTATGTGCCTTCCAGACTATGTGCCCTACACCCTCTCACCTCTTTATAATCCTGAGTTGCCACATCCCTCTGACCCTGGCCCTGATGCTCAAGGATGCTCAGTCCTGTAGGATTTACTGGGAAGGAACCAAAATCTCCTGACGTGATGTGAAAAACCCAGGCGTTAGCTTAATGCCATAGAGCTCTGCAGCTGGGTAGGGGAAACACAGCCAGGATATAAAGGAAAATGCTGCAGAAACAGGGATATGTGCAGCTCCGACTTTGCTCTTGCGTCCGGGAAG